AATAAACTATTTTTTACAAGGTACTTCTAAGACAGGTAACTCCTAGTTGACAACTATAGAGCTAGAATTCGCTCCTTATTGTCTTTCTCGTTTGACCTTCATCACTGTCATTACTGAATGCATTAAAAAGAAAATATAGTGAGAAAGCACTCCATAATATATTTTAAAGATAGACTGGGGTGAAAAGGGGACAGAGGTTAATGATCATCACGTTTTTGGCAAGGAGGGTGCACCATGAGATACTAGACATAGCTAGATAATTAATTAGTTACATAATCTGCTTTAATGAATTCGAAGTAAAGCAAATATACTCTTATTTATGATAATGGATTGTTCTAATCTATAAACAACCGTCATATTATTAAGCTCTTTTTCGAGGAACATACTATAAAATCACCGAAAAAAATCAGCTTTTCAAACAATTGAAATTGATATGATACTCCAAAGCTTTTTAAAATGATCATCATTTAGAATTGTTAAAAATACTATCAATATTCCCTAATGATCATCATTGCTGTTATCATAACGAGTATTGTAAATTAGTTATTTTTATTACAAGTATTAGGCTATTATTATTATTAGGCTATAACTATCATAAGGAAACTGCTGTTATTAGGATAGTTATTATAATCATTACCATAAACATCATCACCATTTTTTATAATAATCATTGCTTTTATCAATTATTATTATCAGTATTATTACTATTAATATTAAGATTATTGTTTATAATCATTAATTATCATTAGTTTTACCACCACTGCTGCTTCTATCATAATTATCAAAATCATAATCATGATTATCATCGCCATCGTCCTTATTATTATCATCATAATCGTGATTTTTGTTATCCTTATCTCACCATTATCATTATCATAATTGTTATAACTTTGTTTCTTTCACCATATAATAATGATAATATTTATAGTAATTGCAAAATTAATAACAATAATCAGTGTTATTAGTATTATCATCACTGTTATTATTCATTTCATTATCATTATTTTTCAATATCATTATCACTTTCATCATTTAATAATAATAATAATATTATTATTATTAACATAATTATCATAATCATTAATCATATCATTAATCATCTTTATTACTATAATAATACTATATTTTTTATTTGAACCTTTATTTTTTCATCATTATTATTGTTAATATTATCATGGTTAGCGATAAATAACAATAACAATAATAATAGTAATGATAATAATAGTAATAGTAGTATTAGTGATAACAATAATAAAATAACAATAATATTAATTAATATTGATATTAATAACAAAAATGACAATAACAATGACAAATATTATAATCATCATGATCAATATATTATCATTATCATAATTATTATTATTATTGTTGTCTTTGTTACTATTTTTTATTCTTAGTATCATTATTGCTTATTATAATTGTTCATAGCTGTAACAGTATCATCATCAAGAACAGCAACAATAATGATAAAGATAACAAAAATATAATAATGGCTATAAAAACAATAGCAATAATGAAGATTAGGAGGAAAAGGATAATAACAGTTATAACAATATCACCAATGCCGTTAATAACAATACTATTATTACTCTTGTTAATTTTGTTATGATAATCATCACTATCATTAATATTATCAATATTATCATCCCATTATCATGATCATATAAAAACTAAGTATTTACAAGATACTTAAAATAATAATGATAATAATAATAATAATAATAATAATAATAATAATAATAATAATACAAAGATGAACACCAACAGATCATGTCTCCTTTGATTAACAATTCATTCTGATGATATTATGAAATTGTATCAAATTATCACAGTCCATTACAAAAATTATCAAACGCGAGAAGGATATGCAAATAATAATAATAATAATAACAAACCAATGAATATAAACAAATTCTTTTTCTTAGCTAATGATGTGATGTCACAAAGACATTAACTTGTTCCTTTATTTGCAGATATAACAACAGTCTCCACTACGTCAACTACAACTTCAACTTCCACAACCTCGACTTCAACCTCAACATCTCCCACCTCATCTACAACCACAACCAGTACTTCTACCACAACGTCATCCTCTACTACGACTTCATCTACAACCACAACCTCCACCTCGACTACTACAACCTCCACCTCGACGTCAACCACTTCAACTTCCTCTTCTACAACCTCCACCTCGACGTCTACTACTTCAACTTCCACCACTTCTACAACCACAACCTCCACCTCGACGTCTACTTCAACTTCCACCACTTCTACAACCACAACCTCCACCTCGACGTCTACTTCAACTTCCACCACTTCTACAACCACAACCTCCACCTCGACGTCTACTTCAACTTCCACCACTTCTACAACCTCCACCTCGACGTCTACTTCAACTTCCACTTCTACAACCACAACCTCGACGTCTACAACTACAACCTCCACCTCGACGTCTACTTCAACTTCTACCACTTCTACAACCACAACCTCCACGTCTACAACTACAACCTCCACCTCGACGTCTACTTCAACTCTACCACTTCTACAACCACAACCTCCACGTCTACAACTACAACCTCCACCTCGACGTCTACTTCAACTTCTACCACTTCTACAACCACAACCTCCACATCTACAACTACAACCTCCACCTCGACGTCTACTTCAACTTCTACAACCACAACCTCCACGTCTACAACTACAACCTCCACCTCCACGTCTACAACTACAACCTCCACGTCTACAACTACAACCTCCACGTCTACAACTACAACTTCCACCTCCACGTCTACAACTACAACCTCCACCTCGTCTACAACTACAACTTCCACCTCCACGTCTACAACTACAACCTCCACCTACAACCTCCACCTCCACGTCTACAACTACAACGTCCACTTCTACATCTACCACTTCAACCTCCACCTCCACGTCTACAACTACAACGTCCACTTCTACATCTACCACTTCTACAACCACAACCTCCACGTCTACAACTTCGACCTCGACATCTACCACAACTACAACCTCCACTTCTACATCTACCACCACTTCAACCTCAACAACTACCACAACCACGGGTGCTCCGACTACGGTTTCGCCAACCACCACTGCAGCCGCAACCACTCCACTGAACTCAACGCCAACCCCTTAACAACCCTTTAAGTTTTTATAACAGTTGGCAGTTGTTTTTCTCATGTATTTTTCTTCATATTTATCTGCCAACGTTTGAACTCTACAATATGTGAGCACAAAGTAACCAAACTTGAAGGACGAAATGTTATACCAACTGTATTAGAAGGGTTAGGTAAAATAAATATATAAACAAATAATAATAATGATGATAATAATAATAATAACAATAATAATAATAATAATAATAATAATAATAATAATAATAATAATAATAATAATAATAATAATAATATAATAATAATATAATAATAATAATAATAATGATAATAATAAGAGAAATTAAAAAGAAAAACAAAAAACATCAAAAGGTACTCTTGCCATTTTTCTAAACATTCTTCGGGAGTTATTTACATATGTATTTTTAATTAATTTATTTACTTATTGTTTATCTCTTTCTTGGAGTATAATTTTGCAGCAATAGACCTGGAAATAAAATTATTGGAAGATGTGGTTGTTGGTTTTAATGTTTCTGAATCTAATTTGATCGAGTCCAGTTTATGCGGTCATTAATTAATTTATTTTATCTATTCACTCATTCTTGGATGGAAGGGTTCATCTTCATTCATGAAATTCGAAAAATTCAAATAGACTGAATGACTGAAAACAATGAATGAAGGAACTCGGCCACTTTATCAACACTAGAATTCACATCCAAAACTAGACAACTCGTGGTAGGGACTAATTCACTAGTTCAACATACACTATGAAATCTATATATAAAATATAAATAGCGCAGTTTCCTGGTTACATAAAAAGGAAGTCATGTAAACGGTAATTCAATAATAAAAAAGTACATTTGAAAAAGACGTCCAACACCGAATTCCGGGTGAAGACTAACGGCGTTTAAAGCAGGTGTTTCGTTGGTCAAGAATTAATGTTCCGAGGCCATGAACTGTACCGATCGCTGATTAAATCCACTACCAAAGGCTAACCTAATTGTTGCTAATCTGCACAACTGGCTCTTATAGGCGTCAAACCAGAAAAAAAATACGCTTAAACTCCAGTAAATCAAAAGAAATGTTTTAAATAATTATATCTACCCTAACCTCTTCACAAAGCATAATATTTCCTCCTAGATGCATATGCGGTGCCCTTAAAAGAGTGGCAAACACTTCCAATTGGCAACTCTGACACCTTCAGTCGCTATCAAAACAAACGAGAAAAAAAATAATAAAAGGACATCACTAAATCAAAATGCTCTCACTGATACATCCATTTCCATATATACAATTTCATAAAGTTGAAAATAAAAGTTACTAAATACAATACCAACAGAGGAATGTTACTCGAAATTTAGAAAAAATGATTTCGGTCTGAACTGTTGGATATAATTTTCCAAACAGTATAAGAGATTTAACACTAATAACACAGATGCAGTTAATGATGATAATATTAATAAAAATCATTATCATTATGATTATCATAAAAGTTATTATTATTGTTATTATCATGATATTATTGTGGCACTGTCAGTATGCAATGTATGACATACAGTAAGAAACGTTTTTTTCTTAACAAATATATATATATATATATATATATATATATATATATATATATATATATATATATATATATATATATTCTTTCAAGTGATTAATTTATTCAAAATTGTTTAATATAATTAGCCAATAACAATTCCTTTGTTATAATATAATCTTATCTCCTTATCAAGTGCCAAATTTAGATAGATAAATGGGTAGACAGAGGCACAGATATAAGTATATAACTTGTCTGCTATTAATATAATAAGTACATTAATATTTAACAACTTGCATACAGTATTAAACACAGTTATTATT